CCCACAGAGGCTTCTGACCACCAAATGACCATTTCACTTTGACACATGAGAATGGCCTTCTTGAGAGTAGTCTGGAGCTGAGGGGGCACTACTGAGGGGTCCTTTACCCTATGTCCTCTTCTTAAATCCTGCCTTACACCCAAATGGGTGAGGGTGGAACTTCCCCAGTAGTAGGATTGCCAGATAAATATAAGATGCTCAGTTAAATTTGAATTTCAGATGAACAATGAATTATTTTTTTTTAATGTAAGTATATCCCACCCCAAATACTGCATGTGACTTACTTATACTAAAAAATGATTCATTGTTTATCTGAAATTCAAATTTAAGTGGACATCCTATATATTTTTATTTGCTAAATCTGGCAGCTCTACCTAGTAGTTTTATTTTGCTTTCCCAAAGTAACAAGATCTTCACTGTATCAGAATCGTAAACATTTATGGAAAAAGAAGGAAATATTATTTATTAAATAACAATAGACTACCACTTCTTTCACAACCAGGTTGCAGGGGTGGGTCAGGATGAGGCAGGTTATGACAGGCCACAGGGTCAAAATGAATTGGTAGGAAAGGCCTAATTACAATGGAGCAGGAATCATTATGACATCAATCCCAGTCTATTCTGGATGTCTTGGGTAATAAGATCCTTTGTTTCATTGTAACATTCTAAGGCCAACGTGAGCCTCCACTTCTTGTGATGATAGATCAACTGATGGAGACCAACGCCAATCGCCTTCTCCACTATGTCTTTCTATAACGATGGTGAATATTAGGATTCCTGAAGACACTTTTTTTTTTATCTTACTCAACTCACTGTGCAACCATCGCTTAACAATACAAAACCAGAAATTATTAGTAACAACTAAATTCTTTCCCCTCTCTTCTATCTCTATGCAAAAACATTCATGAACACAGAACCTTCAAGCCTCACTTTGGACTTGAACATCACTTACTGGCCCTGTGCTTTTAGCGTGAGAGGAGCTAGGCTCACCTGCAGTGAAAAGCTACTTATTAAAGTGCTGATTTATTTTATTTTATTATTTTTAAAAGACTAGGAATAGAATTTACATTGGGGACTGACTTGTAAGTGTGTCTGATTACAGACAGACATCCTAAGGTTAGCTATGTGGCTGGAAGGAGAAAG